GACAGGCAGCCCCTCGGAGCCATGCCTACACCACACACCCACCCCCACATGCTCCCGGCCAGGGTGTTCCTGTGCAGCCCCTGTGGAGGCACAGGACCAGGAGCGGTGACATCCCCCATCCCTGCCCTGCTACCGGTGTGGAGGCTCCTGCTCCTGGGGTCGTGGCCGCTGCTGCCTGCGGAAGTGCTGGGGGCTGAGCACGGGTATGTGTCCGACGAGGCGCAGGGGCGAGCCTGGGCTGGGGATTTTAGAGCAGGGAGGTGCTGGCTGGTGTCCAAGGGCTGGGAGATGGTGTCTGGGAGGTGCAGCCAGCATGGCAAAGGGCACAACAGCCTCCGAGGGGATGAGAAAGGCAGGCACAAAACCATAGGAGAGATCGAAAGCTTTGGGGGCTGCTCCACTCCACAATAGGGCAAGACGGGCTGGTGTTGGGCTAGCCAGGGCACCTGAGTGCCCTGCAGGGCCCACAGGGTCCCTGCCCACCTGGTCCTTCTGCAGCAGCTCCTGCAGTTTCTCCAGCTGCGTCTGGCAGATGTGGGAGCGCGTGCGGCTCTGGTAGAAGGACTCCAGAAAGGAATCGAGGGGCAGGTCCTGGGACAGGAACTGCTCTATCTGGGCCTGTGGGACAAGCAGTGGGACAGCATGAAGCCAAGGGAGCCCAGATGGCTGAGTAACCCCTGGATCCTGGACTCTTCTCCAGAGGGCACAAAGAGGAGTCCAGGGCCCGGGCAAGGAAGGGACAGCAGCACAGGGCTCTTGCCTGACTCACCTCCGACTCTGCCTCAGAGGCATTGAGCTTGGCTTGGAGCTGGCCCAGGGCGCTCTGTGGGCTCCACTTCTCCAGGTACGCCTCTGTGTTGGTAGGGGATAGGGCTGCCAACAAACCTCCCCCCACATGCCCCCCCTGCGGGGGGCTGCTCTCTTTCCCATCCTCAAACATCAACTCCCCTCCCCTGAACACGTCGCTGGAGCCACCTGCACACCAAGGCCTGCATCCCCCCATGGCATCAGTCCCAGCTGAGGGCTGGCTGTGTCGCAGGCAGAGTCACCCTCACTGCTCCTGATCATGGCTGGGTCATTTCTCCAGGGCAGGTTCAAGGATTCTGAGCCCACCCAGGTCCTCCTATTAACACAGGTTGCTCTAGCCATGCCAGGCTCTGCCTTGTCCCATCGGCTGCACCCAACTCACCCAGGCGCTGCTGCTTGTCCCAACATGCCTCTCGTATCTCCCACAGCTCCTGGTACTTGAGGGCTAGGGCAGCCTTTCCGTCTTCCAGCCGTGGACGCAGGGACAGGTTCACCCTGGCCAGGGTGCAGTTTGAAGCCAAACAGATCTCCTGCTCCAGCTGCAGACTCTGAAACTGTGGGAACAGGAATGGGGGGTACGTGCCAGCACTGGGAGAAATGGGCAGAACCAGTCAGAGCTGGCAGACTGCTGGGAAAGGGTCCATCACCAGACAGGGGCAAACCCTCTCCTCCTGCACTGTCCCCATCCCTCTGCTCTGCTTGGAGAAGGGATGCATCCCAAGAGGGATGCAACAGCTGGACCTGGGCTACCCACAGCACAGGGCAGCTTACCCTGAATGTGGCAAACCTCACAGCTGGCTACCCAGCCCCCTTTGCAGAGGAAAGGACTCGTTAGCTAACGATGTCAGGTGAGAGACACACACCCACTCTCGCTGCACACACATCTTCCACCCATACGGAATGGGGAGCAGAGCGTGGTGCTGGGCTGTGCTTTGAGGGGCCCAGGGGAAAGATGCTGAAATCAGGCCAAGAATTATTTCAAAATAACCCGATCCTGTTCCCGCAGAGGAACACCGGGAACCGCTGGAGCCGAAGAGCACTCAGGGCTCATCCCAGATGCAGGGAACAAAGCCAGGCGCGAAGGGCACGGCCAGGGCTTCCCAGCCTCCCCCAGATCTTGGGGCAGTGCGGGCAGCGGCTGTGGCCCTGCTGGGGGTTTTGGT